CTGTATCAACAGCACAGAGCCACAAGCTGTTCGTTCGCTCAGACTCCTTCTCCAAGGAGAAGTACGAGCAGGATCTGTCTGGTATACCTTCATTCGATACAAAGCTCATATTACTTCTGATCCAAAATCGCTCTTCAGCCCTGGTGAGCATTCGCTCAGCATCTTGCTTCCATTCAAGGACTCACAATATGATACGAATATCCTACCACCAAGTCTCGGCGACGACATTCGCTACATCTGTAGGGTAGGTACGAAATCGTGGTCCACTGATGACGTCTCTGAGGAAAGAGATTTCCCCGTCGATCGGATGGTGGACACGTGGGCTAAAGAGAAGTTCAAGCCACCGTATTCCGAGATTTTGGGTGCGTATGGCATCAAAATGGAGCAGCGAGCATTCCAAAGAGGGAAATATGCCTTTGTAACGGTGACGGGGAAAGTGCGCAGCGTTCGAATAAGCCTTGAACAACAAAGACGTCTGCGACATCCGGGGTTGACTAAGGACGAGAGCTACTGCTACGAGAGGACCGTATCAGCAATGGATAGTCCTGAAGACAAGATTTGTGGCCGAAGCAATGGTCCCTGAAGATTCCACAGCATATTCCTCCTAGCATCGAGATTACCTATTGGAATGTGTTGGTGTTGAATTATTCACTGAAAATTATGCTTACAATGGAGGACGGGCACGAGCACACACATGCAGTTCCGATTATGGATAGGATGTACGGATGACAGACTTCCACCACCAACAATACCTGTCAAGCAACGAGCTCAAGGAACAGTTAGTGCTCCTGGAAGTACTGCACCATTCAGAAAGAACAGCGAACAGTTGCCAGAAGAAGCTCCCGAGTTCGAAGTCGTCAACACCAATGACACCCTGTATCCACCCCTATGGGTTGACCGGTATAACGATCACATGTATTCTTGAGTTTTGCTTGCAATAAATGTGTTATATGATGTGAATTGTGTACAAAAACATACCCGAACAATGACTTTCTCCGATTGTTGAGCTTGAATGAGAGCCACACCCTCGTCGGTGCAGGCTAACAGACGTACGACAAGCAGGAAGTACTTCTGATCGGGATTTGGTCGATTGTTCTTTCTCTGGTTGTTGAGCGTCGTCTCGGAGAAATGCAGTCTTGGTACGGTCACCTTGGTGATTTCACGAGCGTGGATGTTCAGTCTGAAAATACCTCGTTGGTAATAGACTGGCATAAAGTTTCGTCGTCAACTCAAATCGCAATGCCGTGAAATAGGCCGCGCGGACTCATCACAGGAAATTCAAAAGGTCATTTCATAGCGTGCCAGGCTATGCGCTGAGTACCGCATGGGGCGACGCGCATCCCCCAACAATGCTTAGAATTGCGCCACGTCGATTATGATCGAGGCGATGATTCAGTACAATTCACAACGAAACAGGACTAAACGTACATGACAGGATCGTGCGGTATTGGTTTACGATCGGTTTGTGATTGCTTGATTTGAATTTCAGATGACAGCATTTCAGCTTTGACACCACAAAAGGCCAGTTTGATGGCTTTGATCGGATGCATCACGCCGTTCACTTTGACGAATTTCGGCGGATTCTCATCGTTCGCCTCGATATTCACCGAGATCTGAAAGCGTACAGTAGTAGAGCAGTCAGCAAGGCTGAAGTGCGGACTTAAAGTACCTGGAAGTGATTCTTCTTCTGGTTGACAAAACAGCCATCCGAGTTCGAGTAATTGAAGCCCTTGTCGGCTACGACGCAAATCTTGAGTTTGGTCAGCTGCTGATGGTTGATATCGTAGAGCGGATTCCATAGCTCTTCTTGGAACATCGAGAACTTGATAACCTTGAATTGGTACGATAGGTGAAATCACTAGTAGATGGATAGAGTTTATGATAACGTCACACACATCCACCTGTTGCGAGAAATTCTCATCCTGATAGCTGCAGTCGATGGGACTGGCAGCCACTGGTGCTTGTCCAACGCTCGGGAAAGCTGGTAGAAACTTTGGCGGATCGAGCAACTGATTATCAGTGCGAGCACGTTTTCTGAAACAGCCCTCACATTCGTCGGTGTTCCACATAACCTACAGTAGCAAAAAGAGCAGCACTTACCTTGGAGCTTCGCTAACTTGGCTATTGATACTGCCTTCGCTGGACACGTTCAGAATGTTGAACAATCCAGCACTGTAGCCGTTGTTCACAATGTACTGCTGATTGTCATGACGTCCATTGGATACTGGTGGTGACACCTGAAGGCAATGATAAATAGCAACAATGAGGTGGAGGGACAACGTGCAGAAAGAGCTCCAACCTGTGGCAGACTACCAGGAGTCGGCTGACTTGGCGGATATGGGCTCATGAAGCACGCATTCTGTGGTGATGTCATCGGATGACTGACCGGACCATGAGACGACTGATGAAGTTCGTGAGCCATCATGCCCGGTACACCAAGAATCAGACCGTTATTGTTGTTGTTCAGATTACTGTGAATACCTGAAATATTAGCAAAATACATTTTTAACATTACACATATGTTCAGTATAAAGTTTATTGATCACCGAGCTACAGTATTCTACCGGTTACCGTACTCGTTATAAAAAAAATTCTGAATTGGCGGGGATGATGAGAAGTGAGAAAAGAGGAGAAGGAGGAGGAAAAGAGGACGAAAGAGACAAATGAAGAAGAACGTAATGAGCGCATTCGGGCCACCAGCGCATAGACAGTGAAGGGAGTGGCTACAAGACTTCTGTCAACCGAAGGGTGAGAGTGTAGAATGGAAAAGCAGACGAGCTTTTGTAGTAGTGGGACTAAGCCTTTTAAGGAGATAAAGAAAGCGGAGATGCTGTAATAGTGTGCTTGTGTGAGAGCTCCCAGACAGCACTACAAAACGCTGAATTGCCTAGCCTCACGGTTGACAGATGTCCTGAGACCAAAGGGCATGGCGCGTTTCTACAAAACGACCAGCGATAAGTACTGAAAGGTGCTGACAGCTGGACAGGACGAGATGACAGGAAGCCGTTGTACGGCAGAATATGGCGTTGACGGACGGTGTTGTGTGTTGAATCGGCGTCAGCGCCGCGCTGATGAAGTGGTCGGACGGCGGCGGCGTGGACGGCATTTGCGAGCTTTACATACACATACGACATGCGTCTCGGACACAAAGAAAACACCCAGAGAAAAGTACGATTATTTTCAAACTTCCGTTTCCCGCCAATAAGCGATGTAGCCGGCAGTGGAATAAGAAGAATAGCACTGAATTTCAGATGTGAATAAGCGTTTGAAATAGGCTGAAATCAGGCACATGGGCGCTTCCATCTCCCCCCAGCAACCCCGCAACAGCCGAGCGCTTGACCCCCGACGAGAAAATCCTGTCTCGCGCAATCTCTGCTACTCGTTACGACTCATGAAGGTTACGCAACGATTTCTCGCTAAAGTGCAACGTGAAACACTTTTGAAACTCGTAGAAATGATTGACAATCGGAGGATGATTGACAATTGGGAAAAACTGGGATATGAACGCGTTGATGGCGATGTCTCGACATATGTAGCGAACGCTACATCGGGGCTACAAAAGCAGAAACAAAAGCGGAAAGAAAAATGGGAGGAAAGGCAGCTGTAGGGGGTAACAAGAGGATAGAAAACAATAGTAGGGAGATGTTGAAGAATGTAAACCAGAAGAAGAATGATGACGACTGTGGTAGACAAAGGCAGAAACTTTACTAGAAGGAGGAGTGGAATGAGGAGCACGGAAATGAGCATGAGGAAGGCACTGAAACAAGAGTGACCAAGGAACCAAAAAACATGGACGAGATGGCTAAGGAGGCTGGTGAACGAGGATGAAGAAGAATAGTGGACGAGAGCAATGCAAAGTAAACTGGGTTGAAGAAGTTGATGCTGATCGAGAAGAAAGAGGGGGCAATTAGGTTAGGGCAACCAGAGATAGAAGAAACGGAGGAAAAATAGAGCCGAAAGCGAAAACTGATGAAACCGAAAAAACGATCAAAAAAGCGGAGTATGAGAAATAGAAAAGAAGAAGAGAAAAGGAGGAAAGAAGGAAGTCAGACAAAAAAACCAAGGCTGTGACAATATTGGAAAAAAGAACGGATTATCAAGCAACGAAGAAAAGATGTGAGTGGGAAGGAAGAAGAGGCGGAACAAAAACAGCTCAGAAAAGGAAGAGAAAACTGAAAACAGAGTTGGAGGATGCCAGGAGGATGAGGAAGAAGATGAGAGAGAAAAAATCAAATCCCGTACCGACATAGTTCGGATAGTTCTCCGGCGAATATGGTGCGTCAGAATTGCTTTCAGGGGAGCCCGATGAACCGGCACCGGAAATGTCCGTTATCGGTGGCGAATCCGGCAGACGAGTGGCATTCTGAAATGTTGACAAATAACAACTCTGATTATAGTAGTGTACTTGAAACAGCCTGTTTGACTTCGCTTAGCCTTTTGTGGAAAAGAAATCTTCGACGCTATCGCAACATAGGGGGCCATTGTGAGTGGCAGTGTATTCAGGACCACTCCTTTTTGTTAATATCGAGACTAAACCATAGGCAGGAGGGAAGACCCCAGGGTACGTAAGCAATTCTCATTTTCCCTGAGTTTCTGCCCTCTCCTGAGCCTAGTATTCGAGAATGCACCCCTATCTTGCGATAGCGCCAAAATCTGGCATTTACTTCATTAGTACGCGCGCTATATTACAAACAATTATCATGATCAGCAGCGGAAAACGATATTTGGCCCCATATTGTGACAGCTGTGTCCTGTCGTTATATCGATATGTGGTCCTACCAGCCCAACTAATCACTAATAATTACTACTTTTATATTATCGTGAGTTATTTTTCACAAATATTATGAACTATTTAGGTAATTTTTTGTAGATTATTATGGATTATACTTTTTTGATAATTTCTAACACAAACAGAAAGATGCACAGTACCTGAAACATAGCGTGAGAATTGTGTTGCTGGTTGTGTCCGATGCCTTGAACGTTGTTTCTGTCGTTATTGGGATGATGTGCGTGGCGGCCAGGATCAGGACTATCCAATGGCGTGCTAAATGACGGCGAGATTCATTGGATCGTCGCGATGTGTTCAGATTACGTTTTGCAGCTAGACGTGAACTTCGAAAATGGTACCAATAGGTCAAGGTCAGCGCTCAAAGTAATCGCTGAAGAAGAAGAAGAGCCGAGTGGTAGCGGCCGTGGTGCGCGAACACGATCTTCGAGCGCGCTTCGCAACAAGATGCTTGATAGCGCGCGCGCTAACGCGTCGTTTTTAGCGCCGATGTCGGCCATTTGGTCCTGGAAGACATGACGAAAAAATTCGGGTAGCCCCCATTGCGGGTGAACTCGGCTATAATAGCACACCTCATCCTGTACCTCCTACTACCGATTTTTTCCCCGCGGCGGCATCGATTTCGGGGGTCCGTTTTTAGGCTAGCACAGCATAGAGCGGTCGGCACTGCATTGACCTATTAGACTGAACTACCGTACATTTATGAAGACCGCATAACGCAATGTTACAATGTTCTATAAACGTCATATGGCCTCAAGTTGAACCGAATCTGGGCAGCTCTCACTCAATGGCAAGCACCGCCCCTTTTGATCTACGCTCTCCAGGCGCCGGACCAGGGTTGTTGAAATGGTAATCATAAGTAAGTGGGTAACCTCGAGAAAAAAAATCGATTCATATCACATCGGTGACCGCCAACCCCGTGTGGCCTAGCAAATAGACCGGCCTTTGTCAAGAGCAGTTGGGACTTCGAAAATGACAAGAATTAGGCGATGAGATGTGGAAATAGAGAAATCTGCTTTTCATAGGGAACATTGGAACTTTCAAGACAAGAAGAGGGAATTTT